ACTATGCAAACAGTCAAGCCTCATTTTTTTCTCGCATTAATCTTTTTTTTTTTTACTAACTACTTTTCAAATTATAAAAAACAAGACCCTAAATGTTCTACAAAACTCAATATACAGCCTAGTGATTTAGAAGCCCAAATGAAACAATATATCTAAAATTCATTAAAGTAATTTAACCGAACATGAATTAAATCAGAACAAACTTGAACTAAATAAGAACCAAAACCAACAAGTTGGTTTCAAGCTAAGAAATTGGTTATGAGTAAACACAAACCAACCTAAGTCGTGATGCAAAGTGAATCAACATTTCCTCTAGAGAAAGTCAAACTAGGATTTTTGATTGTGGATCTCAATCATGTTGTCGAAGTAAACCACCGTTAAAGCATATATGATGCTAGCGAGGAATTGGTTCTCTGAAACTAGATGCTCTGTTCCTCACCAGCTGATCGATTTGGGATAGAAACTGATCTGTTGACTTATAATTTTACCGATGAAGCCGATTGTTCCTTTCCATCCAAACGAAGTATAATGTCTCTTGCCAGGCAATAAGGGTGAGCTTCTTGCATGTCTTCAATCTAGTCATGGAACATAACCGGATTGCTGTCCTGTGTTGGAGTGTGAGAACATCTTCTGTTGATTATCTCCCACATAAATCAGGAAAAGGGAATAGTTGAAGAGAGATGGTCTCGCGATTCATTTTCAGTACCACAAAGGAGACACAAGGGGCTTGTCTACAATCCCCAGTTCGAAATCCTATCGATTCAGCACCAATAACCAAGTAAAAAAATTGTGCTTCTTAACTCATCCCGAGCACCAAACTATTTTACACCAAGGGACTAGAGATCCATGATCTTTTATGGTAGAGTAGATTGTAGAAGTGGATTTTCCATCTTTCTATACATCATCAATCCACCAACTATATGAATCATGCACTGAGGAAATAGATAAAGTAGAAAGGTAGACCTGAATTATGATTTGTTTCTCTGATCTAGCATGTGGTAGGTTCCAGTGTTCATTCTGCCATTGATATGCAAGAGTAGTATTTTTTTAGATGCCTAACCGCTGCGTATCCTCTGTTTTAAGATATGAGATCGAACCAAAATCTGCACTCTTTTACTTTACCCTAGGAATAGATCGTGTCTCTCATTGTCAATAGTTTGTTGGCTAGCCATATCCATATTCAAAATGTTTCTGATTTTTTTTCTTATCTTTGTCCTTATCGTTACTATACATATAAAACACAAATTAGAGAATAAGTTCTAAAATCACTCTCAAACTTACATCTCACATAATATAATACGTGTTTTTACCATTGTATATTTTAACAATATTTTATTTATCTTTTTTCCAAACTAATTAGTTGAAAAAGAAATTCTAAAAAACAAAAACAGTTTTAGTTTACCAAAAATGATGAAACAATTGTGAAAAAACTGAATCTACTATATAAAAGCATAAGGGCTCTCTCCATGTGTTGCCACATCAGCAGAGGAAGAGAGACATGTATACTATTGTCAAATTAAGCAAGCTATTTAAAAAAAACTTCACCATATTATATCTCTTCATCTTCTCCTAATATCCTTTAGCCTTCCAGGTAAAATTACCAGCAACTTAATACAGTAACTTCAATCGTGACTCTTCACATCCAGCTACAATCTTCCACTTATTTAAAGTCTGAGAAAGAAAAAAACGCAATGGTTGATCTAACGCAAACTCGATTAATGGATCTTCAACGGGAGCTCTTCAATTTTGTTATGAGTTAG